GTACGATATGAAGTGGCAATGGCCGGCGCTGATGGAGGGGGTGGGCCTGGGCTGTAATGTACTTTCCTCCATATGGTGGGATTCTATGTCTCTCTGTCTGTCTGTATATATATGCAGGAATATGGATCAATATATGAGCACAGCTCAGAAGGGAATCTAAATACCAGAGATGCCAGACATCAGATCCTGGTAGACAGAACAGTCCTTTGAGACTGCAGAACCCGAAACACTAACCTGAGCACTGCCTGGATTGATTACAAGAAAGCCTATGACTTAATGCCACACACTTGGATAATTGAATGTTTGGAGTTATACAACATTAAAAGAATTCTAAGAGCTTTCTTTGCAAACTTAATGAGGTTGTGGAAAACCAACCTTGAGGTCAATGGCAAGACACTTGCACAAGTCTCCATCAAATGTATGATATACCAAGAAGATGCGCTGTCCCCAGCACTGACTGCATAGGTCTGAACCCCCTCAGCCAAATAATCAACAAGACTGGCTATGGCGGTGGAAGAAATACTTTGAGGATCTCCTCAACCTGACAGACACGCCTTCCATGGGGGATGAAGAGACGGGGTGCTTGGGCCTGGATTCGTTCATCACCCAGGCTGAAGTCACCGAGGTGGTCAAAAAACTCCACGGTGGCAAGGCTTCGGGGGTGGACGAGATCCGTCCTGAGTATCTTAGAGCTCTGGATGTTGTCGGGCTGTCATGGTTGACACGTCTCTTCAACATCGGAGGTCGAGGACAGTCCCCCTGGATTGGCAGACTGGGGTGGTGGTTCCCCTCCATAAGAAGGGGGACCGGAGGGTGTGTTCCAACTATCGGGGAATCACACTTCTCAGCCTCCCCGGAAAGGCCTATGCCAGGGTGCTGGAGAGGAGAGTCCGGCTGATTGTCGAACCTCGGCTGCAGGAGGAGCAGTGTGGTTTTCATCCTAGCCATGGAACAGTGGACCAGCTCTACACCCTCTGCAGGGTGCTTGAGGGTTAATGGGAGTTTGTCCAACCAGTCAACATGTGTTTTGTGGACTTGGAGAAGGCATTCGACTGTGTCCCTCATGCTGCCCTGTGGGGGGTGCTCCAGTGCATGTTGGATTCCGACAGGGCTGCCCTCTATCACCGGTCCTGTTCATAACTTTTATGGACAGGATTTCTAGGCGCAGCCAAGGACCGGAGGGGGTCTGGTTTGGGGAACAGCGGATCTCATCCCTGCTTTTTGAGGATGATGTAGTTCTGCTGGCTCCCTCCTGCCAAGACCTACAGCGTGCGCTGGGGCGGTTCACAGCCGAGTGTGAAGCGGCCGGGATGAGAATCAGCTCCTCCAGGTCCGGGGCCATGGTTCTCGACCGTGAAAAGATGGCTTGTCCCCTTCAGGTTGGAGGAGAGTCCCTGCCTCAAGTGGAGGAGTTCAAGTATCTTGGGGTCCTGTTCACGAGTGAGGGAAGAATGGAGCGGGAGATCGATAGACGGATCAGTATGGCTGCTGCAATAATGCGGACGCTGCACCGGTCTGTCGTGGTGAAGAGAGAGCTGAGCGAAAAGGCAAAGCTCTCAATTTACCGTTCAGTCTATGTTCCTACCCTCACCTATGCTCATGAAATCTGGATCATGACCGAAAGAACGAGATCCCGGATACAAGCGGCTGAAATGAGCTTTCTCCACAGGGGGACTGGGCTCTCCCTTAGAGATAGGGTGAGGAGCTCGGTCATTCGGGAGAGGCTCAGTGTAGAGCTGGTTCTCCTCCACATTGAGAGGAGTCAGTTGAAGTGGCTCAGACATCTTCTTTGGATGCCCCCTGGACGCCTCTGTCAGGAGGACACGCTGGAGAGACTATGTCTCTCGGCTGGCCTGGGAGCACCTAGGGCTTCCCCCAACAGAGCTGGAGGAGGTGTCTGTGGAGAGGGAAGTCTAGGAGTCTCTGCTTAGTCTGCTGCCCCCCTGACCCTGTTCCGGATGAAGCGGGAGACGACGAGTACAAG